TTTGATTGTGTTGGTGGGATGCATGGTGCAGCCACGCACTCTATATACATTGGGGGTGGGCGATCTCCAGCTGTGATCAAACTACAAATCGCTTCATGCATCTGCCTCTGGGAGTCATACCTGTGGCTGTCACTCTTGCAATGCCTTTTGGGATTTGTAGTTGCTCTTGATTTTCTCAACAGTACCGGTTCCTTGGGAGTGGACTACACCCAGGAGTGTCTATAGAGCACATGGGTACCGGGACATAGAAATGTAGGTCAGTGTACAACCAGTCTGTTCCCTAATGTCTTGTTAGCAGCATGTCTGACCTATTTGTCTGCATCCAAATCATTGCATCTAAAATGGTCATTGTTCCAGAACCACTCCGACCTGGTTACCAGAAATGTTACCTTGGTGATCACATGTCGCTGCTGTGGAAGACCTGGAAATGGAAGCTGACTTGCAGTGTACTTTTGATTTTGAAGTTGGCTATTTGGAAATGTTGAACACCATAGTGCAAGAAGTGTGAAGCCGTGATCAGAACATGTCTGAAAATGGATTTACATGCTAGTGAGAGCGGTATATTGTCAGGATATGGTGAAGACTTGTGAGCAATTGGATGCTCTTTGCCCCTTGGTTGCCGGCTACGGGTGGGTTCCCCTTGGTTGCCGGCGGTGGGTTCCCCTTGGTTGCCGGCGGTGGGTTCCCCTTGGCGTGCCCCTTGGTTGCCGGCGGTGGGTGGGTGCTGCTGTCACATTTATTTGACTGCCAAGTGCTGGTTGGGTTTTACTCTTGGATGGGTGAGGAGGATACAGACAAATGCTTGGTAACATTGCTTTGTCATGTGATTTCTGTCACATGGTGATCTCCACATGGGAGTTGATGATCATTTACGGTGACCATGGCTGTTAACAAGGTCATATCTGGTTTATAGTGTACACATTGATGTACACATTTCAGCCACTGCTGCCCATAGCACCACGCCTGTGAGACGCATGAATAGCAGGGTGGTACTCGGCTGTGGGTTTGCTGCTGTGCTCATGGCCCGGAATGTTACTCTGCTGGGTGAATATATTAGTTTGTTTCCCAGGCCAATGTGTTTTGGTCATCATGGGGTTAAATATTAAACTGGTAGACCGTATTGGTCAGATTGCACAAATCTTTCCCTCCATGTACAATGTGTTCTCATAATACACTTTCCACAAAAACAAAATGGTAACAAGGTGTTGGTGTGGGATGAGCGAGAGGAGGATGCTGATGGTGTTGAGTTTTGTTTGGTGCTGTGAATGTATTACGTGGTCACTCTACCTTGGGGTTAGCATGTGATGCTCTCTTAAAAATTCCAGAAAATGGCTAAACAGAAAACCATGAGATCTGTTTTACCTGATTTTGTATTTTTCTCCAGCTTATCCTGAGATTTCTACAGCTCTGCCGCACAGCACAGTTCTGCTCGGCGGGGGATGTAATCCTTTCTGCGGTTTCACTTAAAGGGCCCTTTCCCACCCCGTAACTGGACAGAGAAAGGGGAAGCCGGCACCTTGATGAGCTCATCTCTCAGCACTCTCTTCCCCTATTAGCAATGATCATTGCACTGCTGCACGCTGACTGGCTCCTTGTGCTGCTTTTCCCTCCCCCTCTCTGAGCTCTGCGTCAGACTGAAGTGGGCTGCTAGAAGCAGATTCAGGTTCTTAGACTTTGTTTTTGCTGATCGTCCGGTGATCCTGCCAGTGACACACTTCCTGCCCTGCATTGTATCTAGCAGCATTGTCACCCTAGACCAGTGGTGGCGAACCTTGGCACTCCAGCTGTTTTGGAACTACAAGTCCCATGAGCCATTGCAAGGCTCTGACAGCCACAGGCATAACTCCCAGAGGCAGATACATGTTGAGATTTGTAGTTTTGGCACAGCTGGAGTGCCAAGGTTCGCCACCACTGCCCTAGACTGTTCTAATGTAGACTACAATCCCCTCCCCATCTTATCTTCAATAGAGGGACATTTAACATTGTATGAGATTTACGTTCAGTCCTGCTACAAAGACACAAGATTGTGGATGTGTCTTTTTGTGTGTTCAGAAAATGTACTTGGCCTTTAAAGAGAGAGCAAATGCTGCCATTGTATGTAAGGAGTGTGGCAGAGGGCTGGAGGTGGAGCAGGTCTGGATGGAGGTGGACGTTCATTCTGTTCTGAATGCTGGCAGAAGGCCCGGATGAAGCCCACCCTGGATTTACATCATGTGTTTCATGGTGATAGCAGCCCTCCTGTCTGCACCATGGAAATGCAATATTAATCCTTTAATGTCACAACTATTACCAAAATGTATCTTATTTTTGTATGATTCGGCTGTAGATCTCTGAAATCATGCTGACACTGTCCTTCCATCTGGAGGGTGACTACTTCTGTTCCCCATGGCCCCTGTGTGTTGTAAAGTAGTCACCGCTCCAAGCTCACTTCCGTGATGGACTACAATCTCAATACAAATTAGTAAACTAAACATGAGATTGTAGTCCATCCCGGAGGTGAGCTTGGATCGGTGACTACTTTAAAACACACACAGGGGCCATGGGGAACAGAAGTAGTCACCCTCCAATTGGAAGGACAGTGTCAGCACCAATTCAGAGATGATTTGAGGATCTATAGCTGTGATGGACAAATATGATACATTTTTGGTAATAGTTGTTGACCTTAAGGCCTCATTCACACTGCCACGCGTACGTGTGTATTGTACCATATGCAACACATGCACATAAATGGCTCCAAACACATTGCCGCGTATGGAGCCGTATATATGCGCAAAAACAGAATGGAACAGAGATGCGTCCGGGCAGCGTATTTCTGCGCATATACACGCGTTCAGCACATTAACAACTCCATTACGGGTGATGCATTCTGGGATTGCATATAGTGCACGCATAGACGCATATATACGCAATATACAATTTTGCTTGCGTTGTGTGTGAATGAGGCCTAAAGGATAGAAAGTCCCCTGGTCTCCGATCCAGTGCTGACTATGAGTGAGTCACAAATAAGACACATTTTTATTAGTTTTAGTATTTGAATGTATTGAAGTCTAGTTTACATCCGATATCTGCCAGCACAGTGCACACTACCAGTACAGAGAACAATTTTCCCTCTCGGAATAGAACTTGTATAGTGCAAGCAGCCGGAAAACTTGAATATAAAATAGGTGAAATCTGAATTTGGCTGTGAAAGTGGAAATCCACATCAAAGGTCACCTGTCATTCCATTCTGAATGAGCTCAGAAAGCACCTCAACTGATGCCATCCACACGCAGTCAAGGCCCGTAGAAGGCGATACGGGTATTGCATAAGCTGCAGTCTGGTCCACAGATGCTGTGACTTTGTCCTGTACACTGGCTGGAATGTGAAGTGAGTGTAGAAGGTGATGCAGCTTTGTGATTTGGCTGCTCCGCTCCATTGCATGCAGCTTGTCATTAGAGCTGGCCAAGTCTGAGTGTGTGCAGACTGCCATATTCCCCATCACAGGAAGCCCATCCCTGGAGCTGCATCCTTCCCTCTCAGAGAAATGCATGTTGGAATTCATCCCTGACTCATCTATAGTATGCAGGGTAAAGCCAAGCTTTGCCCCGAGTTTTACAGCTTTTCACTGGACATAGAGCCCATTTTGTATATAATGCAGCTCGTTAGGCCTTCGATATAGTGGCTGTGTCAGTGTTTGTTTTCCTTTTATCACTTGGTGACCCTGTAAATACATTCCTGTCCCTTATTTTATCTTTGGGGGTAGCAACTGTTAATGGGTTTAGTTTTGCTTTATCGCAGGCTTATGGCCTCTGAGTTTCTTTGCCATGCGGGGCCCAGTACCACTTCATTAAACCTTGTGTGTCCTTTATTCCATAATTGTTCATACCCTGATTAACAGGATGTGTTGTCTCCATGTAGCTGCACTTCTCTGGCAGGGAGTTGGCAAGCAATGGCTGACAAGAGGCTGTAGTGGCACTGTGGACACCTTGCGTAGCCTGGCTTCATTACTACATGAAAAAAGATTTTTAAAAAACTTTTTATTTCCAGGTAAATTGGTCACAAAGCTCTCCCGGCATCAGAAAAGTGTCTCTGAAGTTTGG